TGGCCTAGGGATGTTTCATGTGGATAGGTGTATGAACTAGTATTAATGAATATTATAAGGATATACCACATGAGTAAGATACCCTCTGGTAAATTAAAACGGACCCTGAAAATAACTAATTTTTAATGGAAACTAATCTTCCAACCCCTATCTGCCAGGGTCTATGTTAATTTACCGGAGGGTAATATACATAATATACATATATATATATATGTATATATATAATGCGGGATATACCATTAACTGTTATGATATACGAATCCACTGGGTTCATCAAGACAGGATGACTCTGGGGATAAGCCCATGACTATAGGGATTTCTTAGTGGATAAGAACTGATAAATGATGGTTAGTTGATGATTACAATATGCCCCCAACAACATGCAAAAAAAAGATCCAAGTCATAGCAAGGACTTTCCATGATTTATACTCTTAGATCCATGAAAGACCACCAGATGTTGGTCAAGACCAAGAAGCCACCAAAAATGGAACGTACCCAACATGGTAAATCAAGAGTTTGCGAACTGGAAAGTCACCATTTTAAGTTCGGGAAAGCAACGAACTAAATGGACCATGGCTTCCATAGCTAACTAACAAATTACCGGTAAACTGAGTTTTGGCCACCAAAAAGTGGTGAGTATTCTCTATTGAGGTTCGTGCCAAGAGCGTCATGTTCGATCCAGAAATTGCCAGTGAGTGAAACATCATGGCGCTTACCAAGCAAGGGGCCCCTCAGTTGCTGTATAAGTAGTTGGTTTTATAACACTCATTAACTATAGTTACAAGTGTCATAAACCATAAGTTATTGGAGTTATTTGCACCAACTGAGCTATGCTATCGTTTGGGGGCCCCACATTGTGCCAAGCAACATCCTGATTGAGTCTGGACCTCCAGATTTTCAAGATCAGTAGCATCCTTTCAAGTTCCGAAGCGACCTTACAAGGATCAAAGCAGAGAATGACTAAAAGCGACAAACAATGACTAAAATCACTAAAAGTTATCTTAGATACCCAGTAATCAAACATGGCTTGCTGGAAATTCCACCATTTAGTTCGATGATTTTCCCATCTTTGAACCTTCATAGAAAGTTCGGGGATTTCCCAGCCAGGGTCGATGACACCGGAGGGTATGTGATTCCATGAATCACCACTAATCACCATGAAATCATCACAAGTCACCATTAATCACCATGAAAGACCACATTCAATCACCATAAAAAACACCATTAAACCCAAGTAAATCCCATTAAATCACCATAATCCCATTAAATCACCAGTAATTTAGCATTAGTCACCATGAATTCACTGCTGAGAATGGCCGTGGCAGGTGGACAAGTTCGGCAAGAAACAGCCACGCGTGCAGGTGGCCTTCAAGTCCCTCGGGGCTCTGCCGACGGGGGGGAGTTGTTTTTTTCGTCCGATGTAATCTGGGAATTAACGAACAGTTAGTAAGGATTAATGGATAATTGATATTTTGCTATATTATGGTTAGAAATGGTTAGTAAGGACTAATTTTTATTAATGGTTAGTAATGGATACCAACTATACTATGAGGGTTAATGGATAAATGGCGATTTAATGTTAGGAATTTAAGAACAATGAATCATGGTTCGTAATTAACTAGTGGTTATAATTATCATGATGATTATATCTGTAACGCTTATATAATGGATAATAACTACTGGTTATATAATGGGCAATGTAAGGTTGGGAATTTAACACAGTAGATAATAGTGATTTTTCATGATCTAGTAAGACTTTAACAACAATAAATGATGGTTAGTAATGATTATTAGTCATTATGACTATAGTCTGACTATTGGATAAATGGGTTTTTGACCATCCTCAACGGATTTTTGTACCGGGAAACCAGGCATGAAATATCTATGAATCTATGAGCTATCATGATAGTATCCGCTAAAAAAATCCTGGGGAAACCAGGCATTTTCATCATTTTTTTCATGTCACACGTCTACCAGTATCCATGTTTCTTTGCCTCAGGGTGAGCAGCCCATTTGCGGATTTGCTACATCTGCATTTTGAAGGATACATCAGGCTATATCTACAAAGCTTCACATTTGGGCACAGCCCGTCATGGGCACAACGCGTGTAGCTGCGCCACCGTTGCTGTCCTTGACCTTTCATCCTTTTTTTAACGACCTCCCATAGGGTTCAGTCAGGTTTTTCACCACTCGAAACATGCTGGAGTACCCAATTTCTTCCCCATTGAAAGCCATCTCTCAGGTTGTTCTTCCAGGAAATCTATGACTTTGAACTGACCATGCCAGTTGGGCAACCTGGAGCCGGTTGGGCGCTCCCCCGGGCCCAGGGTTACCTCCCAGCCGGGTGGCTGTTGGTTTAAAGTTGGATCCAATCCAAGCAGGATCAGGATTGTTGATGATTGTTTGGCCCAACTTCTTTGACTGGTTGGTGTTTTTGAGGATTTTTCACTTTCCATATCTTTTCATCCTACAGTCAGTATGGTCAGTATGGTGATGGATGGCATCACCTGGGGGAAACCCACGGATCCCCAAAATCAACCAGGGTCAAGCTGTCATTACATTGGGGTAGTCCATTGCAAACTCATGAATCACTGGATTCCAAGATGGTGAAAAATCCCATAAAACCCCCATGAAAACTCCATGAAATGCCCATGAATTCACCAAGATTTTGGATGTTTTCTCCGCAACCAGCGGTCCAGAGTCCAGACTGGATGAGGTCTGGCGTGCCAGTACTGCGCCCACCTGCAAACGTCTTCTAGAGAGGCTGAGGCGTGAGGATCATCTCAGAGACTGAGGCAGCCAGTTTCAAGTGGCCATATCTACAGTAGGAATATCCCCACAATTCATATGGCCTGAAAAATGGTACTAACGTACCTCCATTTCAGGATCCTGAAATTCCCATTGACTAGACGAGTTTCTTTTTTGTTGATAAAATGTCTTGGATTTAGGGATATTTAGGGGGGTGGACGATTTAAGAGCTAAGAATGGGATCAAATGGGAGTATTTCACGAGAACTTGTTTTTTTTTTTAAAACCAACAAGAAATGGGTATAAGATAAGACCAATCAGAATAAACAGCAGTGATTGTTGATAACCCTTCAGTGGGGTAGCCCAGGATACATGACTCCTTGATGGTCATGGCTGTCATGGCTGTGTTGGCGCCATGTTTAAATGGTACACTTAGGGCTACCACCCTTATTTTACGACTGGATGACACTATGCTATAGCCATACATAAGTACTATTATCCTTACTGTTATAAAAATATTGATTATTGTCAGTCAGCAGTATGATTGTGACCCGGTACATATGTTGCCATCAATTTGGGATGCTGTTTCAAACTGAGCCTGGCCAAACCAGACCCGCAATACTCAACCCGTAGAGGACTAGTGATTTCCAGTAACTACCATAGTTACGCGGAAAACCCACCATTTCTAAACCATTTTCCGCACGGGAAACCATTGGTTTTCCAGGTTTTTTTCAATGTTTACCCTAGATTACCCAATCCATTTGGTAATCTATGGAAACTGGCCCATTTACCCTCTGGTTATGTCAAAATAGCTATTGAACATGACCATAGAAATAGTGGATTTTCCCATTAATAGCATGGTGGTGTTCCATAGTTATGTAAACGTTTACCAGAGGGTATATACTTCGATGTTTTCTCATCAAACGTCCCATCGATGGAGGTTTCTTTAGCCATGAAACTGGAGAAACAGGGAATGATTTCATTTTTTTTTTGTGACTTTTTGTGGCTTACCCTGTGGTAATTTTGTTGTTTGCGAACTGGTGATTTAAACATGGTAAATCATCATAAATCATTGAACTCAATGGGCCATGGCTTGCAAAGAATTAGATAACCAGAGGCTATGAACCAAATGAAGCTACTTCCGGCCAGGGACGGCATTGAAGATGAGGACGAAGAGCTCACTGGAGTGCCTTGCCTTGGAAATCCATGGGGAACGTGGCTGCTTAGCTTGCTTGGTCCATGACCAACGTCCGGTCACCAGCTGTGTGGCGGAGCGCTCGGGGCGTTGGGAAATCTCCGAAGTGGCCATGGGTCTCATGGGAAAACCCATGGTTTTTTAATGGGGGATTTTCCAGCGGAGCTGATTGATCAATGGATAAGACGCGAGGGGAAAGCCCTGGGGAAACGATCTAGAAATTCTGGAATTTGATGTATCTACATTGGTTATGACTAACAGTTTGCCATGGTATAGATGGCCCTAATCGAAATAGATGGTTTACCTAGCTATAAAATGGTGATTTTCCATGGCAAACTGTTAGTCATAACCAGATGGTATCTACATTGGTTTATGGGAAAGCCAAAAACTTACTGGTGCTTACTTAGCAGGGAATTTTCGGGAATGATCCCAGTCATCACTAGTAATTTCATCATCCCAGCAACCCCCAGCAACCCATCCATTCCCTACGTAAAAACGCACCAGTAAGAGAAATACAGCAACACAATTTACAATTATTTTAGTCACGTGTCTACCTCAACTTGGGGGTCGCTTTCTTTTGGGGATTTGAGCATTCATTGGGCCTTTTTACTTTCTTGCGATCTCTCCCACGCCCAGTAGGTTCATATTGATTTTCCTTAGGTTTTCCTTATGGTTTTTCCTTATGGTTTTTCCTTGTGGTTTTTCCTTATGGTTTTTCCTATGGTTTTCCTTATGGTTTTTGCCTATGGTTTTCCTCATAGTTTTCCTTATGGTTTGTTGCTTAAACCCCCATGAAACACCGCACGTGTTCTGCTGTACGTAAGGATGGACGAAGTACCAGAGCGCGCACGACTCGGCAGACGGGCGCCAAGGAACAGGCCTTGCAACGAGTAGCTTGGCGTTCCAAATTAGAGAATCATAATCCACACGAAACTCTTTGGCAAGCAAACTCTTTTTCTTTAAACGCACATATATTTATTTATCGATGTATATATATATATATGTATGTACATATTTATTTGTCTCAGAGATGTACATATACATAGAGCCATCTTTCTCAAGTCCCAAAGAGGACTGCACCCAGACCGCCTGCCATGGAGAAACCGGGCACCCCGGGGACAGCAGAAGTGCAGCTTGTTGCACCCAGTGGTCTCCTGCAGACCTTGCAGCTTCGGATTGATGCCCTGGCAGCGGAGACGATCAGGACGTCCTTGAAGGAAATGGGCAAAGAGGCGAAAGGTGCCGGGTTTTTCCATGGTTTTTTCCAGCCGTGTTTTGGGCACTAAACGTGGGGTGCGGTGGGCACCACGTTTCGTAAATGGATGAGTTATACCCAGGTAGATTCATGGGTTATATCCTCCATGATATGGGATGAAGTATGGGTTATGTATGGATTACAAACTATGGATCCGATTCGTGGGCCACATCCAAGTAGGCTAAACTCACAGAGATGCGGTTTTGAGCATCCACAGTGTGGCAAACCCAATTTCATAAACCATTCCCAAGTCATCACCAGTCATGGGTGCGCTTCTTTACCATCCCCAGTCATGGTACTTGGACGCTTCCCCATTGGCGCTATTTTCAGGTGTCTTCGTCTTTACCCTCGGAACATCGATACTGGAAGAGGATTGGCCACTCGAAAAGTTTCTTGGATTAGCCTCTGGTAAACATACAAATATGGAAAATCACCATGCTATTTTCATGGGTAAATCCACTATTTCTAATGACTGGGCCATGGCTTCAATAGCTATTTTGACATAACCAGAGGGTAGCTGAGTCGATTTAAGTTATTTTCCAGTGAATTCCATGGTGCATCGATTTTTTGATTTTTTGTGGATGAGCCCCTTGGAGGATCATCGAAACAGATTGTTGATGTTGTTAAAATTTAGGTCCCCAGAAAAATGTGGAAAAAATCGTTTAGAACTATAATAACAAGTTGGTGTATGATACGCAAATAACTATATTTAGATGGGTTTATAAACCAACATTCACATCACTGGGTTTTCCCCATCCTGTACTTTTTACCATGGTTTCGTGGCCAGGGAAGGGATCGCTGGGATCAGGATTTCTGGGATCCGCTAGGCGAAAAGACATCCCCAATGTTTGGCGTCGAACTTAGCTATCATGAATCAGCAATCCCATGATCTTTTCAAAACATCTTTGTTGCTCAAACCACCATTTTTCCTAGGGTTTTTCTAGGGTTTCGACATTTTTTTGGGGGGTCACTCCCATGAAATCCCTCGTTTCCTATGGCTTTTCCAGGTTTGGAGTCTCTGAGGGCTCCAGCATCGAAGTGACGGTGCTGGATTCCTCGAGGCCCTGTTTTGAATGGTACTGCCACCTGGAGTGAAAGGTGACGAGCTGGGGATACCCTCTGGTAATTTAACGTAGCGATTGAACATGGTCCATTTATAGTTGATTTACCTATTAAAAATGGTGATTTTCCAGTTCGTTATTTGTATGTTTACCAGAGGGTATTCTTGCTGTATTTTTTTTTTTGGGGGGAATCCATGGGGAAAGCATTGGACTTTTTTTAGACATCAGTTGGGATATCCCCTGTAAGATTTTTTTTTTGGGAAATCATGGGAGAATATGGAAAAACACCTGGAACATGGAGGTTTCAGTGGGAAAATCATCGAAGAAATGGAGAATTCCAGTAGGAAAAAATGCTAGCCTACTACCCTAACATTCCTAACATCGAAGTAGTTGGTAAAGTGGCCTTGCCCTGAAAAATGACAAGTTTTGATCCATCCCCATTTGGATCACTGGAAAGTCCACTGAAGATGGACCTAGACATCCAAGGCTGTGACCCATCGAATGGCAATGCGATTTTGGACAAAGGCTCCACCTTCCAGCGTTGTGACAAGGCGGCCCACACAGATGGAGTGCAAACCCGCGCAGCATTGCCCCGTGAGACTGCGTGTTACATTTGCTTCCACCATGTTGGAACCCATGCTTCTTGGATTTCTCGAAAATCGAAGATGGGGGGTATTTTTTTTTTTTACCCCTCCGGCAATTCCCCAGCTCTTCTTCAATGATTTTCCCGGCGAAATAAAGCTCCATGCCTACGGCACGGGAATTTCCCAGCGGCCCCACTTTTTTTTGGACCCAGGAGGGTAACCATTAAAAAGTGTATCATGAAAAACAAATCTACCCTCTGGTAATTTAACGTAGCTATGGAAAATCACCATTTTTGATGGGAAAACTCACTATAAATGGCCATTTTCAATAGCTATGTTAGTTTACCAGAGGGTAAGTGATGCTAAGACATCCATTTTCATCAACAAATCTAGGGATCAACAGCAAAATGCTGGTGCACCAAGTGGATGACTTGTCGATTTTCTGAGTCGGTGTTTCTATTGTGCAATTGCTGAATCCGCCAGGACTGGGGAATCTACTTCGAATATTTAATAATATGTTCGGGTTACAGACACATCCTGTGAGTTTCAAACATGACAAATACTGTTTTTTTTTTCCCATTGTATTATCTATTTTTTCATATGTGTTTCGTTTTTTTGGCATACCTTTTGCATATTTTTACATATGTTTTCCTCATTTTCTCAAGGGCTTTCCCACATTTTCGCTTTTCCAGATCTTTTAGCCCCATGTCGGAATTCATTTCTGTCGGATTTTTTTCTTTGAACTCAATATACTCAATCCTATTTTTTGCGTGATTCCCAATACGTGCCTGGGTATGGCAAATCCCAGGCTTGTCTGGGAGTCGGCACCAACAAGTGCAAACTGGCTGAGACTTCCTATGTACACCTCTATGGTCAGGATGAGAACTCCTGGGCGTTGTGTTTCGGATTGGACCGAGAATTCGCTGCCTACCACAAGGGTCAACTGTGTGTCATGCAAGATTTGAACGGCAAAGCACTGGCACCGGTGAAGCACGAACGAGGCGAGGCCCGCGAAGCC